AAATAGGACCTTTATCAACTGAGTTTTGTGGATGTAACGTCCCCAACACTTTCGTTGTCTGAATTCGGTATTTCGATTTCATTGTCCGCTTCTGAACACAACATTACCAGTACAAACTTCAGGTAGAACTGAAGTGAAGTATTCCAAATATGACTCGTTGCTTGTCCTGTCAAGTGACGAAGTGAGCATGTTGTGTGCAGAAGAACAATGCAAACTCCAACTCAGAGAACGAAACTACACCGTGATTGTTCAACTTAATTACATATTTCCTCCACTATCTCAATTAAAGTCTATATTTTGCATATGAAAGTGTTTATGGACAATTTGATTCTCATAAAAGTGAGTTTTTTAATTTTTGGGGATGTTAGATACTTAGAACTCACTTGATACTAGTCCTAATTTCGGATGTTTTGTGTTTTCGCGCATAAGCTGCTCATATGACCTTGGGATTACATTTCCCACTCACAAAATCCTTGACTGTTATTGCTATATGTATTACTTTAGTCCGCTATTTTTGTGGCTGTCCCAAGGACGCTTCTATCGTGTATAAATAAACTCGATTTGTGCATTTGTGGAATCTCATATTTTCTGGGTGCTTATAAAATACTTTTTCTACATCCTGTCAAGACTTCTTCCTCTACTTGGTGGGGGGCTTGTTACTCTCGTATGAGAGTAGCCTATCGTGTCACTGGATCATTTATCTTTATTCTCGTTTAACGACTAAGGTGAACTCGTAATGTGGTGTGAGCTACTTATAAGTAGTATATGACGTGAGTGAAAAAGGTAATGTCTAGCAGCCGAAGATGGGAGAAGATCAAGAAAGGAAGAGTCAGAACACAATCGAATTTGTATGAAACGCATGAATAGTGACAATGGATTGATGATGTTTTGCAACAGGAACAGTCCAGTTCGATATGATGGACTGATATTTTGCAAATTAACGATTTACGATATGGTTTTCCAATTTTACTGAGTAACTCTGTAATTTTCGTTAAATACAATCCGGTTGCCCCACCTGTGTTCTCGTTCACTACAGCAATATTTTCAAGCATAGTAACTGACGATCATAACAATAATATGCATATTTCTGTCACCTGTATTAAAATTAAACACTGTTGTAGATTCCAAGAATTCACTTTCTCTTTACTGTCAACTTTTAACTACATTTATTTCCATTTAAAAAAGTTAGAATTATAGCGTCAAGCGAAAATGACGTAATGGTCAAATTTATTTTGACTAAAAATCCTTAAAATTTGTTTTGGTAAACATATACTTAAACAATTTTAGATTTAGTCAGTTTCAAAAAACATATATTTAGTTGAATTTTTAAAAATAAACAAGCTTGAAAAAAGTTTTATTCTCAAAGTGAAAATTTGTTAAATTCTTCTTATTATTATTATTAACAACCTGTGATAGAGCGAACAGTTTTTCCCTGTGTTATGCTCGTCGGTTGATATACTTGAATGTTATTACGTGTTCATCTTAGTCGGTAAACGGAACCGACGACAAATGATTCAGTGACACGATAGACTATTCCTATTCGAGAATCCCGTGGCCCCACTAAGTAGAGGAAGAAGTCTTGGTGTGGTTTAGAAAGTGTATTCTACAAGCATCCAGAAAATATCAGGTTGACAAGCATACAAATTGAGTTTATTTTTACATGATAGAAACATCCTTGGGAGAGCCATTAAAGTGGCGTACTAAAATAACACGTCAACCAATAACACAGTCAAGGATTTTCCTGGTGGGAAATGTAATCTCAAGGTCAACTGATCATCCCATGCGCTAAAACATAAAATCCAAAATTAAGAACTTTATCAAGTGAGTTCTGGGGATCTAACGTCTCCAACACCCTCTGACAATTAATTTAATATAGAATAAACGTAATATGATTATTAGCAAAGGAGTCGAGGAGTCGAGTTCCATTCTATTTGGTACACATCTTTGATACACGTTGGATGTACCTGCATTTTAGAGTTGATGTTTATGCTAGAACTCAAAGTTCAAACTGTTCATTTCAAATGCTGTCGCGTTATCTGCTTAATTATTGAGTTTAGATAAACTAGTCACATATTCAACGGTTGAATCAAGGTCTTCCGTATACGACGCCCTTCTTGCCAACCAATGTTACCATTAAGTTATCCGGAGCATAAATAACCTCCTGTAGGACTGACATATATATTTACAAATGATGAATCACTGAGCAGGGACCAATGTCATATAAAACAGGTCTTCGTGGTGGAGTTTGTTTGCCGTTACGGAGCTTTCATTATTATTCTGAACATCCATTCTCTAGTGTTCTTTTTATTACCCCCATTTCTAGTATTTCAATATTTCTCGAATCGAAGAATGTATATCTGCAGTTGTCTGCATATATTGATTTAAAATAAGAAATGTCACTGTATTTTACTGTTAATTAACAATTAAAGAACATCAGAGAATTTTTAGAAGCTTGATATTCAGGTTAATCAGCAATCAACTGTGGTGTGAGCTACTTATAAGTAGTATATGACGTGAGCGCCAACATAATGTCTAGCAGGAGAAGATGGAGGAAGATCAAGAAAGGAAGAGTTAGAAAACAATGGGATTTGTATGAAACGCATGAATAGTGACAATGGATTGATGATGTTTCGCAACAGGAACAGTCCAGTTCGATATGATGAACTGTTATTTTGCAAATTAACGATTTACGATATGGTTTTCCAATTTTACTGAGTAACTCTGTAATTTTCGTTAAATACAATTCGGTTGCCCCACCTGTGTTCTCTTTCACTACACAAAAAACATGTAGACTGTTACGCTCGACTCTAGGTATGCTTAAACTATTACGAGTTCACCTTAGTCGAATAACGAACGAGAACAAAACAATGAACCCCAGCGTCCAGGTAGGCTACTGTGATCCCTCGATCAAATTGAATCAGTAAGAAGTCTTGATATAGTGTAGAAATTGTATTTTACAAACAACCAGCCAGCACACACAATGAAGCACTGAAATTGCGTTTATTTATACACCATAGAGACGTCCTTGGGAGATTCACAAAAGTAGCGCACCAAAATGACACGGTAACCAATCACAGCCAAGGATTTTCGTGGTGGGAAATGTGATCTCAAGGTCATCCGATCGGTCCATGAAATAAATCCAAAATAAAGATATTTATCAAGTGAATTCTGGGGATCTAACTTCGCCAACATCGACAGTGATCTAATCTATTAACCAAACTATGTTTCAATAATGAATTCAACAGACGATCTTGAATATAAAAATTCATGATGTGTTTATTAACAGTTGTCTTCGCAAAACACCATCAGCAACAACGTACTGTGGGAGAGGAGAATAAACCAGATTCCAGTGGAGGAGGAAATCCGGAAGAAGCGGTAGAAGTGGCTGGGACACACACTACGAAGAGCACCCAACTGCGTCACGAGACAAGCCCTCACATGGAATCCGCAAGGCAAAAGGAAAAGAGGAAGGCCAAGGAACACATTACACCGAGAAATAAAGAAAGATATGAGAGGAATGAACAAACATTGAACAGAACTGGAGAGGGAAGCCCAGGACAGACAGAGTTGGTTGGAGAAAACTGGTGAGCGTCCTATGCTCGATTGGGGATAACAGGGGTAAGTAAGTAAGTAAGTTGTTTGATCCGATCACTATAAAACTTACTACACAGTTTTATTGTGCACGACACATATTCACTAAGATTCATCGATTTAAAGACTATAACTTATAGAGTTCGATAGTGTACACTTCGTACTTTGGGGGGAGAAAGTAAGTCGGCATAAATGAACCAGAATATAATCTTCACTATAAAGTTGTGAAAATTGTTGAGTTTCATTGAAATTCTAAATCAATCATTATGAGACTACCATTAGAAACCTGAAAGCATTGAACGGCCATTTCATCCTAATATAGGACTCAACAGTAGTTCACATACACGACCACTGAACGCAGGAGTTCAACCCAGGACCTTTGATCCTTCACCCAAATGCTTAATCTCTGAACCACTGAGCAGATGTTTAATGGTGTTAATGTCCAACATTGATCGATTCAAGGTACTGAGCGACTGCATCCATTGTCTTCGGTGGGTACAGCTTTACACCCGATAGGGTTGAACTCCATTGGTCATGACTTCTTAAAATATCTCCCCGAGAATTTTCTCACGAAGCTAGTCACCAGTGAACACATTGTTTATGATTTTCATTACAGAATTTCGAAGAATGTTGAGATTCGCTGAAATCAATCATGAATTGTTCATAAGTCCCATACTAAGATGAAACAGCCGTCCAATGCTTGCAGGTTTCTAATGGGGGCCTCCTACCAATCGATTCATGATTTAAATGAAACTCAACAATCTGCGCAACTCTATGGGGAAGATTATACTCCGATTTACGTACACCGACTTACTTTTTTCCCTCAAGTTTAAGGATACACTACCAAATTTCAAATTTTTTAATTATTTATTCCAATAATCCAATCAAATTTTATCTCAGTAGTTGATTAAAAACTTTTAAAAATGTAAAAATTGGGAAATGTAATTTTCTTTTATTAAACAAAATTTTTTTTATGAGTATCGATTCTAGCCAAAAAATTACTTTCCAGTCATATCTGTTGACTGTTTCCAAGAAAATTAGAAAAATCCGCCAAATGGGATGATTTTTGTTTTATTGTGCTTTTTTTCTATCAATCAATTAAAACAAATACAATTTTCAAAATTTCTTTCAATGAAAATAATAAATCAAAAACAATAAAACAAACAAATACAACCAAATTCATTCATTAAAACAAATTACTTTTTTTTTGTTTTTACATGAAATGAAAAATCATTAAATTCTGATTGGTTGAAAACTTTTCAACCAATCAGATAATTTCTCAAGGATTCAATCTTCAATAATTTGCATTAGAAGGAATACATGAAACACGAAACCACCCAGAATCTGTTGATCTGATATTTTTCTTTAAAATAAAATAAAAACAACCAATAAAATACTTCGGTTTTATTTTTTTTTTGAATTTCCTCACATTATAAATAATATATAAATAAGTTTTGTGTCATTTTTTTGACTGATCAAAATCATATCATCATCAATTCACAACAACATTTAACTCACATTGAACATTGAATAATTCGCAGAAAATAAAAAAAAATGAATACATACTCGCTTCTAGTTTTAATTTGCACCATTATTAGTAAGTTAGTTTGTTGTGAATAATTACATGTTTACATTGTTTATCATCATACTATTGATAAATTTTAAGTAATAAGTTTATGTAATGAATTTTGGAAAAGAAATATTGTTCATTTTAAATTTAGTGGGGGAAAAAATTGTTTTTCCACAGTTTGTGATAAATATTATAACCAGTAAACTCTTCCGCCAGAGTAGTCGGGTCATGTATGCGCCTTGCTGAAGAATCACAGACTAGGACGAAACGCTCATCTAGTACCTCTAGGTGGTGGTCTAACAATGATTGATTCCTTGGCGTCTGTGCAACTCAACCATTTCTACAAACCTTTTTGTAAAAACATTTGTGTCATGCAAAAATTCTCAATGATGAATTTTTGACAAGTTCTAAACTGTGATGAAATACAACAAAACGTGTTGTTTTAAACGGAATATGTTGAATAGATCGATTATGTTTCTGGTCGAATTCAAACACATCACAAAGGTTGCTTGCAATCAGTTCAATTAACTAACCGAAAAAAACGGTCATTAAATAATTGAACCATAATTCAAGTTATTTTATTTTTAACAGTTGATTTCTTCCATCTTTAAAAAATTCTAACTATCCCATTCTGTGTTTTATTAAATGACTTAAAAGTTTAAACAACTAATCAGAAAAAAAATTTCTCATTGAGTAACAGATTTCTTTTTGGCTTATATATAGTTTTTAAATTTGAGCGCAAAATCGAACTTACTTTTCTAAGGTGAGTTATAATACCTCATGCAAAATCTATGCATAGTATTGTTGTCTCGTCTGGAACCCTTCTACGAGGGGTTACTGTCGGTCCTAAATCTGGATAGATGAGGAGGGTTGAATATAAGGTTAGAGATACCATCTCGTAGAAATTCAACTTCCGAAAACAAAAACTCCAAGTAATATAGTTTCTGTGGGTCATTCTTGATATTACATTGTAATTTTCACTAAAATAGGAGTTCAAAACAGTGGTTCCCTTTGATAAATTTGAATAGAGAAATAAGAAGACATATTTCGTGCTTTCTCGTCAGTCACATACAAGCAACATGTTATTTGTGTGTAAATACAGTTTTGAAGATAAGGTCAAAATTTCTTATTTAGCATAACATTCACTCACTCACTAGAACCATGATAAACAAAGGTCAACATACAGTTGTTTTTGAACACATAAAGTTGGACTTTTCCGACCAATCAAGATAGCTTCGAGTAGTTTGAGTGTGTGTGGGTTTTGATTACATGTCACAACTCTTCAAAACTGTATTTACACACAAATAACATGTTGCTTGTATGTGACTGACGAGAAAGCACGAAATGGTACTACTATCTCACAAAATATGTCTTGTCATTTCTCTATTCAAAATATGAGTTAGTTATTTTCCATAACTGATAAAAAGAAAATCTAAATTCTCTTATCTAACAAGAATATATGATTATCGATAGATACTTACAAATAAGTTGTGAAATCCCAGGTATTCAAAAGCTCCGCGACCAAAACATACTCCAGTTCAGAGAATCAAAGCCCAAACACAATCATCTACCTGAACTAAAAAATTTTCTCCACTATCTCAATTATTTTCAGTGGCTTACATATTTATAAAACTACAAATATATTTTTGTAACGCTATGATTTTAAAATAACTGGCATTTTAAATGATTTTTTGCAAATGTGTATTTTCCTAAAATTTCGATTTTAAGATGATGGAGAATAATTTTTTAGCTCAGGTAGGAATAGGTTGGAAGAAAGTTAGGGGCGGCCAAACCAAAACATGGCAGAAATCTATGAAGTCATTGACGAGTGGACTTAGCCATGTCGGTAATTGTCTACTACTTGGTTGAGGTCCGCGAGATGATAATAATCGACCTTGAATGACATGGCTCAAAATCGTTCGCAATGGCGCCGGTGCATTCATTCTTTTTGTTCTCTCAAATCCTAATCTTCTGGGTTCTTCAACATCTCTAGTTTAGACTTTCTAAACTTTTCTCATTGAATCATACTTCTTGAATAATATTTTCTAATCCTAACCTCTCCGATTTCTTCTAATACCTTTACTACCTTTTCTACTATTGGATTTGAATCGACAATTACATCTTTGTGCTGATAAGGTATGGCAACATGAACTGATGTACTCACGTACAAAGTTCTACCTTGCATCTGACTGACTGACTGACCATACGATTTACACTATTTCTACTTTTTGTTAAGAATTTATAATTTACTACTCACAATGACTTTTTGGTTCATTCATGCATGTATAATTGTTGGTTCCCATTCATTAGTGAATTAGAGTCTCCTTTTGGATGTATATAAATGAACGTTTGAAATATAATAAGGCATCTTGAAGTGATGGTCATTGGACTTGTATTCTTTCTTTTCTTTTGGGACAAGTAAGCAATGAGCCGTATTTCAAGCATACAGATGCGAGTTATCTCGTCTTTGTCACATTAAGGGTTACTCAAAAGTCCTCTGAGTATTGATTAGTGTAAAGACATAACACTAGTCATGGAATTCAGTGGATACGAATTTCATACTGTTTAGAACTCTTCATTAGTTGGATATACCTGTTACTTCATAAAGTTGATGTAAACTCTGGGACTCGAACTCAGTAACTTTCGCTTACCAGAATGAATGTGAACTCTGAGACGAGCTCCAGCAGGAATAAATGCGTGTCCTGAAGTCCACTACTATCCACTGTCTACCTCTGTTAGTTATCAGTTTATTTAGAGATAATTTTACTTAAGTACATTAATTGAGTTATTTACGGACATTCACATTTGTTTGTAGTAAAACAAACATTTTAAAAACATCCTCAAAGAGCCACATTATCGAAGAGTACTTTGTTAATAAAATTGATTTTAAGTTCATGTTGAAAAATGACATTCAAATTGATATTAACAAAATGTTCACTATTCAACTAATTGTTATAATTTTATGTGTGAATTTTGAACAAACTGTCCTTTCAAAATTCACGTATAATAATGATATACGATTTAAATAAAGCATTCTATATTGTTACAGAGAAGAATTTTAAACACACAGTCTAAAAACATTTTAGCGAATTCCCGTGATAAAACTGCTTTGCCTTTGATAAAGAATGGATAGTGTTTATTGTGATGGAGTTTCGTCTGCCAAGCTGGATGTTTTTTTGGTTTTGGAGCTTTCATCATTGTTCTTCTTCTTGAGAACACAACCGCATCATCAGCACAAACTTCAGTTAGAACTGAAGTGAAGTATTTGAATTTCTCCAAGTGTATGACTCCTAACTTCTCCTATCGATTGGAAAAATCCCAATACTTCACTCCTACGTGAAGTGTGTTCTGATGATGTTGTGTTAAGAAGGGCACAATGAAAAGTCCACAACCAAAACATTCAGCACAGAACAGTAAAATAGGGAAATAACCAGTATTTAAACCAGTAATTAAAAAATTAATTTTATAAATGGCATTTGAATCAATTATACAACCAACTAATTCAAATAACCACTTACATACTTTCATTTCATTGATAAGAGAAAAGGGATGATTTCTAAGGTTTGTTCAAGAGCTTTGTTACGTAACTTTTACAACAATTCATATTGTGTACCTAGCCCCCTCCTCTCCACTGAAGAAGTAACTTTTGTATAATTTTATTAAACTACTTAAAAATGCACAAAGTACCAAGATAAATTTGCTTTAATTTATTATGCAAACGGCAGTTATTGACTTAAAGTTAGCAAGTTAGTTGGATTAACCTTTGATAGCTAAGATCCAATGTCGTTTACACGGTCTGTTTACGTAATTTTCAAAATGAAAGCTTGTTACATCATGTTTGAAATTAAATTGTATTTTCGAGCATTGCTGATCAGTTTCTACAAAATTCTTACCGAAATGAATAAAATTCAGTGTTTTCCGATTCGATTTTTAATAAATTTTGATAGAACAGTTGTGGTGTGAGCTACTTATAAGTAGTATATGACGTGAGTGTCAATGTAATGTCTGGCAGCAGAAGATGGGGGAAGATCAAGAAAGGAAGAGTTAGAAGAACACAATCGAATTTGTATGAAACGCATGAATAGTAGTGACAATGGATTGATGTTTTGTCACAGGAACAGTTCAGTTCGATAGGATGAACTGATATTTTGCAAATTAACGATTTACGATATGGTTTTCATATTTTACTGAGTAACTCTGTAATTTTCGTTAAATACAATTCGGTTGCCCTCACCTGTGTTCTCGTTCACTACACAGTGATGTGAAGATGTAGTTGACTTAAAAATACATGATGTATTTACACGTTATACATGTTGAATTATCCGGGTACATGCGTAATGAAAATATTCCCTTTGTTCTATCCTTGTGAAGTGAATTTTCTCACTCCTTTAGTTTTACATTGATCGCTTACCATTTATTTCAACATTTATTGGATTGACCTTTTCATACAAAAATCCACTAACAAGTGTCGTTGTATGTGTGTGTGTCTGATCAGATCAGATCAGATCAACGCCATTTTCGCATTGTACTACTGAAAATGTCCAAGTTTCAATAATCAATAGTAGTATGAGTGGTATACACACACACATGTTTTACCAGTTCATTATACTTGTTATCGGATAAATTTTCATGTTCGTTGATAATTGATCATACACAGAGCGGAAGAAAGCGATTGTCATGCAAAAAATACATTCACAATTGTTTAGTAAAAATAGCAATTTTACAATCTACTGTACTGTACTGTACTGTACTACTAATATGTTTACTTACAATTTACAATTACATTTATTGTTATAAATTCTAAATGAAATAAATTATTTTTATATGTGATATCTTTTTAAAATGAGATAATGAAATGCCCCATCTAATTATTGAAATCAGTGAGTCCATTTTTGACGAATTTAGATAGAACAATGAGAAAATATAATTGTGCATTAGACATTAACACCGTTAGATACTGGCTCAGTGGTCTAACGGTTGGGGCGTTTGCGCGCAATACCGAGGGTGCTGGGTTCGGCTCCTGCTGG